ACTCAACTGTTTTCTCAACTTACAGCGGATGAATATGGCAGCCTAGGCCGTGGGTGGTTGCTCACGTCTGTAATCCCAGCACTTTGGGAGGCCGAGGCAGATGGATCACTTAAGGTCAGGAGTTCGAGACCAGCCTGGCCAACATGGTAAAAACCCATCTCTACATTAAAAAAAAAAAAAAAAAAAAAAATGCCGGGTGCTGTGGCTCAAGTTTGTGATTCCAGCACTTTGGGAGGCCAAGGCAGGTAGATCACAAGGTCAGGCATTCAAGACCAACCTAGCCAAGATGGTGAAACCCCATCTCTACCAAAAATGCAAAAATTAGCCAAGCGTGTTGGCAGATGCCTGTAATCCCAGCTACTCGGAAGGCTGAGGCAGAGAACTGCTTGAACCCGGGAGACAGAGGTTGCAGTGAGCCGAGATCACATCACTGCACTCCAACCCGGCCAACACAGTGAGACTCCATGTCAAAAAAAAAAAAAAAAATTTAGTCAGGTGTGGTAATGGGTGCCTGCAATCCCAGCTACTTGGGAAGCTGAGGCAGGAGAATTGCTTGAGCCTGGGAGGCGAGGTTGCAGTGAGCCAAGATCAAGCCACTGCACTCCAGCCTAGGCAAGAGAATGAGACTTGGTCAGGCACACACACACAATAACAATATGGCAGTCTATACTTCATCTATTAATACTATAACTGTTAGTAAAATAAACCTAATAGGGACCAGGCTTAATTCCCAACTCATTAAATTTCTAAGTTGAGACTATTACCTTTCTGAACTTACCCTATCAAGATGGCTTTCTGATCTTCAAAAAAGTTCCTAAAGAATCCCTAACGTAACCCTGTGGTTTCTGCAGGGAAAGCCTACTAACACTTTCTTGATTGCATTTTAAATTCTTGAAATTTAAGCATGTGGCTGGGCACAGTAGCTCACGCCTGTAGTCTCAAACACTTTGGAGGGCCATGGTTGATGGATCACCGAAGGTCAGCAGTTCAAGACCAGCCTGGCCAACATGGCAAAGCCTCATTCTACTAAAACTACAAAAAATTAGCCGGGCTTGCTGGCACATGCCTGTAATCCCAACTACTCAAAAGGCTGAGGCAAAAGAGTCACTTGAGCCCAGCAGGCGGAGGCTGCAGTAAGCGAAGATCAGTGAACTTGATTAATAAAGCAAGACAAATGCATTCTATAAATACAAACGAACAAAGACAAATACGACAAAGAACTACAAACAGATGAGAACACTAGTTCTGGTTAGGGGAAGCCTAATGAGACAGGTAAAAGTCAGTAGGATTAGAAGTTGGCGTCCATACAGACAGGCAAAGAAGGGGAAAGCAGCCGAGGTCACGAGAGAGTATTCGCAACATGAGTCGCTGGGCTGGGAAAGGACAAAAGATTCCACGCAGCAGTTAATGGTAATCAATGGTAATAAACACATGTTCTAGGAAAGCCTATGTATCAATCCACGAGCAATATTTAAAAAAAAAAATCAACAAGATCTCTTCTCACTATCTTGACTAATGAAATGCTATCTAAGCCTGGATTTATTATTTATTTTAATAAAATTCAATCACAGTTTATCAACCTCCAACATGAAACTCTATTCAGTAATAGTAATACTCTAATTCAGTTAATACTGTATTACCTGAAACTATATATGTAGCTTATCTGTTTTTTCCCCCTCAACATACCAATCCACATGGAGGAGAAATAAAATCTGCCCTGCAGATTCTGGTGTGAGACAGCCTGAATTTAATCCTGGCTCCAAGATTTGGAGCATCCTCAGGTTAATTCTTCGTTCTTCCCCTTTCAATAGGATAGTATCACCAACTAAGTCAAGCTTGTCCAACCTGAGACCTGTGGACAGCATGCGTTCCAAGATAGCTTTGAATGTGGCTCAACACAAACTTCTAAACTTTCTTAAAATTTTATGAGATTTTTTTGGTGATTTGTTCATTTATTGGCTTATCTGCTATCACTAGTGTTATTATGTGTGGCCCAAGATAATTCTTTCAATGTGGTCCAGAGATATGCCTGAACTAAGTCATGAACATTGTACAGATTAAATAAGATAATCCACATAAAGAGTTTCACACAATAATCGATGAATAAATGCCAGTCATTGACAGGGCTGCAATGTTATAAGCAATGCTAAGCATTAGAGATGAAAGAAATTGCCTTCTATTTTTTATGAGCCTGTATAAATCATTTATAGCTCCTGACAGAAGTCACACATCTCCTTCAGGAAAAGAAAAAGAATCATAACGGGATGCACAGACAACATTCCTGTGGTTTAAAGTAGATACACCATGGTTTGCTCCAAAATCAACCCAGAGAAAGCCCAAAATGAAAGAGCCCTGGATTTGCAGTGAAATAATTAGTGCTCCACACCCTCCCCATTTCTAGGCATTGACAAAACAGATAATCAAAGATTTCACAGGCCTAGAACCTAAAACAAGTCACTAACAAACACTAAGAAAAACTGCAAAGGCCTATCATGGAGTTTTCCTTGAGCAATACTATGTGCTAAGATCTAGCAATATTCAAAAAACCTAAAACAGATCCTTGACCATCAAAAGGTAGAAAGACAGAGACTATGACCATGTCAACTTCTTAAATTATCATGTTAATATTAAGCCTTTTACAACTCAAAATAATACTGCATAGCTGGAGCACAAAGAAAGGCACAGGCTCATGCATAAAAAGTTAAGAAACAAACAATATTTTAAATTAAACTATGCTTTTAACTTGGTTTGAGAACTTGGATTAGAAAAAAAGTCCCCAAGTGTAACCGGCAGTCAGATCCATGTAAAAGTATGCATGACTTCCTTTTTTAAGGTGGCTCTCAGTTGCCGTGTCATGCTACCATGAACACACAGCTTGTGCATTGAAATGCACCTAGCATTTCTTAACAGAATACCATGTCAAAAGATACTTCTTTCCCTCTGGTGACAGAGAAGTTCACAGTCAATCATTAGTTTCTTCAACAGGACTGACTACGTGGTTTTTTGTTTATTTTTACTTTTTGGTAGAGATGAGGTCTCGCTATGTTTACCAGGCTGGTCTTCAACTCCTGGGCTCAAGTGATCCTCCCAAAGTGCTAGGATTACAGGTGTGAGCCACTGTACTTGGCCCTGACTACATGTTTTGAAAGCATATGCCTATCTTTACTTCTTACAGGATCATTTTCCATCTCAGATTTTCTTAGACATTAATAGATTAGCTTGTGTGCAAAGTCACTGTGTTTTCCAAAATGTTCTATGATATTTATCCTAAACCATAAAGGAATAGCTCTTCCCCCAAAGACCACATTGCAAATACTTCCTCCTTTTGCAATTATCCTATAACAATGTCATGGTACAGATACAAAAGGGGTGTGTGCGTGTGTGTGTGTGTGTGTGTGTGTGTGTAAATGACTTAGTGGATCTATTTTCTTTTACAGATATTTTCCATCTATTTTGATATATGGTGAGAAAAAGCTAACTTTTCTAGGTGAATGGGCAATTGTTATAAACACTAAATAAATTATCCTTTTAAAGTTACTTATCTGAAGTGCCATCTTTAACATATATGCACATACTTATACATATCATGTCTGTTTCTATAACCCCTAATCTGTTTCAATGATCTATTTGTTTACCCCTGTAGCAATGCCATGCTGTTTTAGGTATTGTAGCTTTACATTATACTTTGCCATAATTACTGTCTTTTCAAAGAATAGTATAAATTGCTATTGTACCCCATTTTATTATTTAGAATCAATTTGTCCAATTTCCCCTTGCTTAATCTACCCCCTACACACAAATATCAATGTGATTTTGATGAGATATAATGGCCCTATTTGTTTCATAAACCACAAATTAAAGCTAGGAATTGTCTACAACACATACTTATTAATGTGGAATATTCTCTAGGCTGTTTACTGATTTTTCCCTCAAGATGTAATTTGTCATTTGTTTTTAGAATTGTGGAATATTTAGGAGGATCACTTGAGCTCAGGAGGTCAAGACTGCAGTGAGTTGTGAAATACTAGACAAAAAAAGAAGGAATATTTGAAAAACAACATTTTGTTTATTAGTTCAAAGTTATCTGTTTATAAAGCTGTACAGAAAATAAAACCTGTTTATTATGTTATTTATTTATATTCTTACTTTTTTAGTCAACAATGTAACAATTTTTGGAAGGGAACACACTGATATTACCTACTATGGATATGACTTTGCTATATTTTCTATTTACAACAGTTTGAGAATGAATGTTTTTGTGCTATGTCGTTTGACGTGAAAAAGAAAAAAGATCCTGGTTGTTAAAACTTCTATCATGTCAATATAAAATGCCCTTTTTACTCCCATGTAGCGTGATAGAGTGATCCTTCCTTTTATTGTGTTAGTTCTGCCTGCTGGAACTAAGCTTACTCTTTTATCCCCCGTCTGTCTCAGGACTTGTCTTCTAAACAGGATGCAACTATGTTTGCATTTCAACGTGAGCTGTGATTCCTTAACTTTTATTAAAAGAAATTCTCCCTTTTACAGTTACTCTAACAACTATGCTTAGCCTAATACACATCCCTTTAATTTTCCTATGTATACTTTTTTATTTTATTCTCTTAGCCCTCCCTTTTTTTCCATGACTGAATCAAGTTTAACTTTTCTTTGCATTTTATGGCCACTTATAATTTAGCATTTCAACACTCATTAAATATTTTGCAAATATGTCAAACAACTAAGCTTTGGACCTTATTATGCAAGTGAATAGGAAATTACTCTAATGTTTCTCTCTTTTTTGTGTCTGTCTGACCAAAAAAAAAAATCCAAAGTATACTCCACTTGGGGTGGTAACAATAAGTCAGCTTAAAATAAGACCACTTTGGCATTTAAAAAACCCATGTATTAACTATCACAAGCCAGGAAAAGGCAGGACAAGTAACTTCATATTAAATTAGTAAGAAGTTAGTTCAGTGTTTCTTTCCAACATCTGTGCATCCTTCAAAAGACAAAGCTCTTACCGTTTCTTTTGGAATCTGCATCTGGCTTGGCTCTGCATTCTAGAAGAATTGAAGAAAAACATAAATACAGACTGACCAAAGCCATCTTCAACACACAGGGATACAATGATTTAAAGAAAATTTTGTTGATTCTTAAAATCCACAAAATATATAAAGGGTAATTATATGATGGCTGATGTAATACTCTGTCTTCCGACCTTTTGCTGATGTGTGTGTTTATGTGTGTTCTAAGAAATTTTTTTAGATATACATTTTTACTTGCTCATTCACAGTACATCATGAATTTATTATTTGGAGAAAAACAAGTCTCACCAAACCGCTTTCCTAATCATGGCACTGTTTCTAATTTTGCTTTTAAAATTTCCCAATCAAATCAAAGTTTTAAGGTCTAGAATCATTTGGTAGCTAGACCAGATAATAACAGTTTGAACCACAGTCTGAACCACAGCATTATACTTTAAAATGTTGCACAGAGAATAAATGTGATTTTTTTTCATATAATGTAGACTTGCCTTAATTATCTAGGAATTTACAAGGATGATTTATTTTAAAAAGGCACAGATTGATAAAAATATTTAGATTTAGACACACAGAATTTAAACATAGACACCCCAAACAGAGGCAAGTAGTTATGTCTATTGGATTCAAAGATTATTTTTAAATGCCCCCTCCCTTTAAGTTTTCAGGATCTTATTCTTTTAAATTTTCAAAAAGCAGCTGCAACATGCATAATAGACTGACGGCCTACTGGCGTACTCCTTAATGAAAAGCTCACAAGCAATAAATTACATAACCAAGAAAAAAAAAGTAGGTAGCAGAAGGGAAAAACAGAAGCCTGGAAGATAAAAATTGGACAAGAAGAACCTGAATAACCTTAAGCTGGCTATATATTGGCACTAACTCTGCAAAAGACTGCTTAAGAGCAGTGTCTAGGCTTTGGCAATCTAATAATGCTAACTAGTGCACTCCGAGACACTAAGGAAGAATTAAAGCTTCAGCAAATCACATGGAAAGCTAGCTGTTTTTTTTTTTTTAAGTGCTCATTTACAATTTAATAGAGACATCTCCAGATTTAGGATCAGGTGGCATTTTAAGCACAAAATTGGATAACAGTGGGGGGAGAACGAAAAACTGAATTTAAATTGAGAAATAATGCATTAAACATTTTTAAATATAAAGAAGTTTTCATAATTTATTCAAAATCGACTTAAAACAAAAGTGTTCACTTTTCAACCCTAACACAGTCTGAAATTTCCACAAAATCCACATTAAGTTTTAAGACCTGTGTATAAGCAGGGGATGAGATATTCGTGACTAAAATTTATTTTCCTTTATAATTAATATTTACAGAAATACATAGTTTATATAGAGAATAAAAATATTTACTTTATTTATAATAAAATATAAATTTTATCATAACACATCGATACCTGAAGACACAACTTAAGAGAATTAGGACTATATGACAAATTTGGAAACCTCGTTCCTAAAACCTTGTCACTCTAGATTATACAAATTCATTTTTGTTTAGAGCAAAAAGCTAGCTGAAAAGAATATATTTCAAAATGATCCAAGTAGAATCTGTTTTTGCAATATTTAAAATATCCCTTGTACTTGAAATAAAACAATTTCCTTATCACATCAAAAGACAAAGGCAACTCCTTCAATTATGTCATTTTTATATAGCAGTGAAACCTAGCACTTTTGCAGAAAAACATTCAGAACTATGTAAATTTAAGACAATTATTTCATTCACACCAATATCATGTAAATGCTCAGATGTATTAATGTATGCATGAAAAGTGAAGGAGATAGGTTGCAAAGGTTATAAATGCCTTTGCATTTCCTTATGTATTCCTGAATAATATGACCTATATTTGTAATTAATAGCCATGAGGCTTTTTGCCACTTAGATCTTTTTATTTTTTATAATAATTTTTTTAAAAGGTATTACTTAACAGTAAGCAAGCAAGCATCTATTTGGCTTAGTGAACTATGAAAATGTGAAATATGAAAATTTGTCATATGCAGTGTGGAAGATGGCAAGCTTTCAGCGACAGTCTGTGGAGTGACAGTTCTGAAATAATCAGCGTCTCTGTACTCAGTCAGTCCATCTGAGGGTGTACAGTGATGAGCATTTGATGCCCTCGAAAATATCCCTACGGTCTGATGCTTAAATACCCCTCCATTCATTACTGTGGATATCCATTTCTGAAACTAAGGTAGTATTAGAGAAAAGAATGTTTGTATTCAGTGAGGGCTGAAAGAAATATAAGATACAGAAACTCCTTGGAAAATGTCTCAATAAACATTTGCCATCAGGTAACTACTCCAGACCCCTGGCTGCTGCACATCAGAAATCTTTCATCTACTCTAAATTTACGCACCAGTTCCCTTGGGTGGAAGGCGTCTTCCTGGCGAAAGACCAGAAGGCTCACAGTTCCTTCCATCTTGGTGTTTCTCAACAGGGAAACAACTTCCTCTTGGGATTTGCCCGCTAAATCTACTCCATTTACCTAAAACAAAACAAAACAAAAAAAAGTTTTCAGCTGTAATCCTGTGCAAACAAGTAACAGAAACACACACACACACACACACACACACACACACACACACACACACACACACACACACAGAGAGAGAGAGACACACACATCCTCTCTCTCTCAGACTGGCCGCATCTGCTACGGAACATAACTCATTTCATGTACAGTTCTGCCATGATCTGGGAACCACTGAGGTTTTCTGGCTAATAAAGAAACTAGGACCAGATATTTAGAAGAGAGGAAGTGGTCAGTCTTTCAGTGTTCATCATTAAACCCAAAGTGACCATCATCAGGGCACTGACAAGTAACAAGTAATAAATATTTCACAAATGTCAAGTTAACACAAAACTTACTGGCTTAGAATTGAGATACTTTGATGGCCTTGTGCATCATAGGATTTCTTATACCAAAATAGGTGTTGCTCTTATAAAGGGTAATAAAAACACATCAAAAATATTTTGGTATAGTATTTTCACTTCCAATGAAGTTTTACTGACAAATATAAAGAAATATAAAGAAAACGTTTTACCTCTAAAGGTAAACATTAAAGAAACACTACTACAAAATAATAATATTTTTAGCAGGGAAGCAATATCTCACCTGAAACTTTTTCAATGTTATGAGAGACTTCAAAACAGGGAAAAAAAGTTGAAACAACTTATTCTTAGGGAATCCTGTATCTCCCAGTATCATTATCAAAAGCACTATATATTCCACAGAAATACGAGCATATGTTTCCTTTAAAGGTATTCCACATTTTCCTTTTTAGACAAAAATGACTTTTTGTCCAAGGCAAATAAGTTTATAATTTAAACAGCAGTATCAAAATTTTCCTGTAGTTAAAATATGTTTTGGAACATTTCACCTTCGAAAAAAGTCAACCTCGTACAGCTTAAGGAACTACTATTAAGGAATTGCAGACAGGAGGACGGAATTCAAGTCCCAGCAGAGACTCTTACAAATAAAACAAGCTACAACTGCAGACGTGGGCTAATGTACCACTCAATTGATACCCCAAGGACAAGCACCCTTTTCAGGAAGCAGGACCCTAAACATAATTTGTACTCAAACATCTGTTATTTAGCTTCTAACAGTGACATTTAAAATATGTTGTCACATGCACAAGACCAAAACAGTGGGAATACAATTTAAAGAATCTAGGTCCAAAATGTAGATGGAAAAAAATATGGAAATTACCCCTATCCTCCCCTACTTTACAAAAATTCTTTAGAACTCAATCTGAAGAGACAGAAACCACATACAAAGCTATAAGAAAAAAGAATAATGCAGTAAAAGTTTACCTTAGTATTAGTATTTGAATACTAGTTAATTAGGAAACAATATCTGCTAATAAAAATACAGACTATATTTTCTCAGAAAAAAATATAAAGAAAAATGGCTAAAAATATATTTTTCAATATTCCTTTTCTCCTTTATGTGCAAATCATCACACAAACACAAATTATGTAGGTTTATGTATTTCTAAGGCAGCTTCAAATACCAATGAACCCAAACTCAGAAGACAGAAAAAAAATTTAAAAACGATTTTTCTTTTCTTTCCTGACATTTGACTCTTACATCTCAATTCATTCCCCGTGCTGCCACTTCAAGATTGCCTTGCTCCTCTTATCCAGACACACGCTTTCATTTATTTCATCTGTCTCTGTTCTGAATACAAAGTGGATAACATTTCCATATTGCCAGACATAAATATAAAGCCATCTAGAAATGTAACCTTATAGACATTTTATAGGACAGAATGTTACCTAATAAACTAAATGTCTGAGTAACTAAAAATTTATAACTAAACTAAATGGGGCTGGGCACGGTCGCTCACGTCTAGAATCCCAGCATTCTGGAAAGCCAAGGTAGGTGGATCACTTGAGGTCAGGAGTTCGAGGCCAGCCTAGCAGTGAAACCCTGTCTCTATGAAAAATACAAAAAATTAGCTGGATGTCGTGGGGCACACCTATAGTCTCAGCTACCAGGGAGGCTGAGGCAGGAGAATCACTTGAACCCAGAAGGTGACAGCTGCAGTGAGCCGAGATCCTGCCACTGCACTCCAGCCCGGGCAACAGAGTGAGACTCTATCTCACTAAAAAAAAAAACTAAATGGAAAGATAATTTCTCATCAAATAAGGTGGAAAATGGGGTTGGGCACAATGGCCCGCACCTGTAATCCCAGCACACTGGGAGGCAGAAGGATCACTTGAGGCCAGCAATTCAAGACCAGCTGGGGCAACACAGTGAGACTCCACAAAAAATTTTAACAATTAAAAATATGTAAAAAAGGTAACATGGAAAATGTAAACATAAAACAGAAACACAACATTCAATGACGTATACTTCCACTAAAATGTATATAATTTAATTTTATATTTTATGAAAATGTTTTTAAAAGTTGGCTCCTGGAAATGGAACATTTCAGGAATTAGGGAACATGTTGCTTGGGGGTGTCACTTACCTCTATAAGTCTGTCTCCTGCCTTAAGTCGGCCATCCTGAATGGCCGCCCCCCGGGGGAGGATGTTTTTCACATAGATTGGAGCTGAGCCACCAATCGTTACGTCTCTAGAAGTGATGCTGAATCCCAAACCTTCTGTACCTAAGTATGTGACGGGGAGAAAAGTAAATAAAATGCTATACCTTGAATTTTACAGGTGTATTGCACTAGTAGACTCTACCTCAACTTGACATTTTGCAGCTTTCACAGTGGTCCACATTTCATCTAACACTTTAAAAGTTGTGATAAATTTTTCAAAATAGACTACACTGTGGAAGGTTTAAATGGTTTACATATCAACAGTTATTAATCTAAGAAGAAGCAGCAATCTTCTCAAAGACAGATGGAAGTTAATATATAAATATGACTGCTAAAGGTTTTTAAATCAATATAATCTTTGAATGGGAAATTCACTACATGAAGAAAGAAAAAAACTTCGGTTAAGATCCACAGTACCTCAAAACTCAAACATTACTGTGCAATAATGACTTCCAAATTTTAAGGGTAAGAGGTACAAGCAAGGGAGACAAAAATGTCCAGGGAGATGGAAAAGAATAGTGAAATGAACAATCTCTCTAGATACAGGTAATGAAACCTCCCCCAAAATCATAATTATTCAAAGCAATTTACTAAGAGGATAAACCATGAACCATATTATCTTTGCCTAGTTCACTTCTAATTCACCTAAATCTTACGAGATATATTTCCTTCTCAACCCACCACTCCCAAAAAAGGCAAGTTACTCAGTGAAGAATACATCTCAGATCATGACTATCAAATCTGGGGATCATCATATTATGTTTACAGGTACTAAATGAACGATGCATTTATAAATTACTCTGCTAAGTCACAGAATTTAAATTCTCATTTCTTTGGCAGCTTTATTGACAAGGCAGCCTTATACGCTCAATACAATGCAGAAAAGGGTTTGTATGTCACTAGAATCAACATGCAGTAAGCCAAAGTGTGCCCAGGAAAACTGTGAAGATAATGAGACATTTCTAATGAATCACAAAATTTTTAGAATACTTCTAATAATGATTTCTACCTAAGCTTTTTTAAAAAGTTACTTCTTAAGATATTAGTTTCCATTTCAGTTAAACTAATGTTAAGGCAAATACTTGCTCATTATGGGAAGAATAAAGAGATCTGTGAAGGTGAAAAATCTTGAAAAGAGCACATTAATCTGATACAGCACTCAGAATAAAACTGTAATGAAAAGTATAAAAGTGAACAAAAAATGGGTAAATAAAAATGTAGATTAAAGAAACATTAAAGAAGAAATACAGGAAAAAACTCCAAAATTATTCCTGTAGCAAAAACTACAATCAATACTCTCAACATCAAACAAGGCATCCATTTACTTCTAGTCTGAAGTCACTTTAGGGTGCCTGGACTGTTAATTTCTGACGTCTTCCATGCTGAAGACCTGAATGGCACGTTGTTCATATGAAATGTTTCTAATGTTCAGCGGAGACTTTTCTATATATCTCTGCTTTCACAAAACTAACGACTTGCAATAACATTTATTAAGAAAGAATTCTAAATTATTCTCCTTTTGCAATAGTAATTTCTATGAACTATGAATGCTGTTATAGGAACCTCAATACTATTAAAATATCAGCAATAACCCCTAAATATGTAAGCTAAAAGTTCAGGCAATGACCTTTCAAGGAAAGATAAGTAGATATCAATTTCATTTAACAAAGCCAACAAAACATTTTGAACTGACTGAAACAGATTACTGACCTTCTCCTCTGACTTTATTAAAAAAATAATTTCTACAGAAGAGCAGGGTATTTGAGAATGCCAAAAAGGCAATAAATATTAACAAATCATAATTATGGAAGCAAGTATACTGGGGCTAGTCTATTGTCATGTTATATAATATAGCTGCAAAATTAGACCAAAGAATCATTATACTGGCATCTTTTGTTTACTAAGAGTTGATCCCAGTTTTTGAAGAACTGCTGCCACTCAAAGCCCATTAGCTCACTTTGAACTCAATCTGAAGTTTAATACTGACACACCCTGTTTTTAATGTACTTCACTGAGAAATGCAATAATAACTGATAAAAAATATCTGCTAACTACAAGAAAAGCCTGTTCAATTCTCCTACAATCATTATTATTAAAATATATGTATTTAGTCCTAATCAAAGGTAATCAGCATTCTTCTTCACATTTGTAGCAAACATAATTTTTGTATAAAATATTTGTAAGTATTGGCGGCATGTGCTTTTTGTCATACATTCTCGCAGTTGGTAAATTAAAATCAAGATAGATCTATGGGACTCTAACACTTAAAACCATTGTTTGTACTTCCAGTGATTAAGCATAGTCTTTCTAAATTAGCTTGTGTGAATACAATCATATTTTTCATTAAATGCTATTAAAATATTATCTGTATTCAAAACAATGGTATTTTTAATGTCAAATCACCTCATTTGAAGAGTCCATGTTATATCATAATTTGTCAAATATCCTAATTTTTGAAGAACTGTAATTAACTAAATGAATATTGCTGTATCAGTATAAAAAGTAAAAGATACTTATGAACCAATATCTTTATGACAATGGTGAAGCAAAATATTGTACTTTTATTGAGAGATCTCACACAGAATTTTAATTTTTATACAACTCTATTTATGGTTCTTGACATGTTTTTGGTTAAAAACAAGGGCCTGTGATTTAAGTAGAGCAAAAGCAGGAAAGAGGATGTGATATTTCTCTCATTTAGGAATTGACAGAGCTAAAGGGGTTTCTGTTGATATGCCTCTGTGTTTGCAAGGAGGCAAGCTGTCAACTCCTGATCATGTCAACCAAGTATTTAGAGCTTAAAAGCCGGTAACCAGAAACAAGAAACTTGTGGTTCACATAAAGTTCAACGAAAGAATACAATTTAGAAAGGAGAACGCAGTCTCAGAGTTTACAACCTTGTAAACACTACCCCACATGGAAAGAAGAATGGTCTGAATATCCGGATATGGAAAACATTCCAGGAAGAATCTGTGGCCCACAGCCATGTGACCTGAGGAAATAATGAACCCCTCTTGAAATCATTTCCATTTAACTGTAAGAGTTGTTGGTTGAGCCCATAAAAGATATATATTCTTTATAATAATACCATTTTGAAAGACATGATTTAAAAATATATGAAAATGCTCAGCTAAAATGGATCATGAACAGTAAACCTGTATCTTGGTACCTGGAAACACTGGGTGAAAATCATAAAGTCAAGTCCAATAGTTTGCACTGAACTCTGAAGGAGGTAAACTGCAAGAGCATGCTCTCTATATGCAGGGATCCACTATATACAGGAAGGGTACTAAAATACATAAATTGATGGAAGATGTATGAAGAATCAGTAATCGCCATCATGACTTTCACATCACCATAAGAAAGAGAAGCAGGGCTGTGTGTGGTGGCTTACTCCCACAATCCCAGCACTTTGGGAGGCTGAGGTAGAAAGACTACGTGAGGCCAGGAGTTCCAGATCAACCGGAGCAACATGGCAAGGCTCCACCACTACAAAATTTTAAAATTAGATGTGGTGGCACACGCCTATAGACCCAGCACTTAGGAGACTGATGTAGGATGTTGGGGACTACAGAGCTATGACTGCGCCACTGCACTGTATGTAGCATGGGCAACAAAGCAAGACCCTGTCTCAAAAAAAAAAAAGAAAAAGAAAGGGAAGTAACGCAGTAATACAAGAAAACGAAAGACAAGAACCAATGGCCTGGCTTCTATGCAGCCTACTATGAACCTCACACAAATGGGTCACTCCCCATAGCAAACACCGGACTGACGTGCACGACCTCTGAAGTTCTCTTTGGGGGCTGTATTTGGACAGCAAGTGGGGCAGGCAGTCAAAATGGTCAGATCCTGACTACTGCTTTGCATTTGATATCCATGTCCTGAAACCATTTTCATTCCAATCAAAAATCTGACTGCAGTAGTAACTGCTATCTTCTTCTCATAGACATATTTTAAAGTCTTATTCTCTGCACTTTTACATTTTAATTTCTACATGGCAAAATAAACCTAAGACATCTAGGAAATACAATTTTAAATATGTTAAAAAGTAAGTAGCTTTAAAAATATGTATCAGTTCTTTCACAAAACAATGGGATAAAATTCAGGGTGCTTTGGGTTAGTAGGCTGACTTTTAAAATAAATTCCATTTCTACTCCTGTGTGCTGCTACTAAGGAAGGAAAAGAAATTCCACAAAACAAAAGCAAGATAGGTCGTACCTTTCTTAAGCTGGATATTAAGCCTCTTGCCTATTTTTTTGGTGTTATAACCACTGCTTATAGTCGTACTAAATACATTCTGAGGTGCTGGGGCCGGAGAGGATGGCGGTTTTCCCGAGGGGTGCGCGCTATGAGGTAGTCGTGAGTGAGAGTCTATCTGCTCAGGCGGGTGGTTCAGTCGGGGTGCTCTCTGCACCGTGTGAAGCCCTGCACTGTTCACACTCCTGTTGTCAATATACTGGCTGTCAGGGCTAAAGCGGCTTGAATAATAATTGTTCTTCTCACTTTGGGATAGTTGTTCGTACTGCTCTTTATTTGCTGCAGGAACCACATGGAACCAAATGATGGGTGTACGCATGGCTTGGCGAAACATATGTTGTGCTCTGGGTTTGAGAAAGAACAGAAAATCAGCAAATTAAGACTGGCAGACTAGAAGATATTATGAGCTTAATTAAGTATACTAATTAAGCAATCGGAACTGACAGGCTGTTGAAACTGAAAAGCAAAATTCTAATAACTCATTTATCAATCAAGTTTGCAGCTCTGATCTCCAAATAGCTGTTTCTTCAAATACAAATTTCTCCTTCTCTCAATAAAAATAAGAAAATTATCTACAACTATAGAAAAAATTCTGTTCTCTCAACTGTAAGTCATTAAACATGTTTTAAGTACAACAGAGGTATTATAATTTCAATAACAGAAACCAAATGCAACATTCTCTCTACAACTTATAGACTATATGTCTAATACAACTTATAGACGTTACAAAATATTTCCTTTTAAGTTTTCAAAGAAAGACATAGCTTTATAATTGTATTTAGAATCTTGGATTGGGTTAGATGTGTATTTAAATTTTTTTAAACACACACACACACTTAGAAGACTACAGAAAGTAACTATTAATTATTTATTAAGTTGGTATATGCAAAAATCTCAAGAACAGCAATCCAACCTTAATAATTCAAAATGTTGACAGCTGTGGGTCACAGTGCAACCATACAACCAGCCTGGGAAGCGGCTCTTTCTCATGCTGGTTCCCTGGTCACGTTTCACTTCAAGTCCTTAAGAGTTCTGTTTGTTCCTGCCTTGTTTTATAAGAACTGGCCAACTTTTATGTTTTTCATTGACTAATGGTCTGAATCAAGACAAAGGATATCTGAATACAACCCAATATTGAGATGCAAAGGAGCTTTATCTGCTTATTTGTATCTAGGGAAACTGTGTGCAGCAAAGATAGACGTGTGAGTTAAAGTGTGATAAAAATGGGCACACTGTCAATTTTCCAAAAGGTGAGGAACCAGCAGAATTGAAAGCCGAAATGGGGGCCATACTATTTAAGAAGAGTATATCCATCGGAGGACGTTTTGAAATACAGTCTAATGATATTAATTACTGTGAGTATGATTAAATTTTTAAAAGCTAATGGCAGAAAATATTTCTCTCCAGTATACAGGCTGGGATCACAGACATGTGGTTTGAAGCACGTCAACTGACTGCACTCTGCCACGCCTAACGCACGTAAGAAAAGAAGGGCTGCGAGCCCACACTTACTGTTCAAATCTTCTATTTCGAAGGTCGCCATCATTAATCCTGACAATGCAATCATTCTCATGAAAAAGATTTTCATGTTCAGCTTTACCACCTTTCTCCAATCGTTTTACTAATAACCCCAGGGTTCTGGAACATGAAGAATGCAAATGATTACACACGTGACATCTCCACCATGCACACTGCCCTACCACTTTAATGCTGGTATATTTACAAAGGAGCACGTTAAAATCACTATTCATACATTTTTAAACAACAGACAAAAATCACAACAGTTTAATGATATGTAAAAACGGATCCCTTCCATAAATGTTAGAAATCATTTTCTGGCTCGTCAGTATTATGTTTCGAGAACAAGCTATAACACTCTCTACATCTACAAATGCCCCTAACGGAGACCGCCTAATGGTTGAGTGGGTATTGCAGTGGGGAGCATGGATAAGCACGTATTTGTGAATGGCTTGGGCAATTTTCTGTTTTACGCCAGCTGGTACACTAGCTTAAAAGACGGCTGCAACCCCCATCTTTCTATGAAAGTGAAGGTAATGAGGAAAAGCTAACCTCATCACACTGAAGGTTTTAGAATGATAATAGGAAAGATTTCAGAAATAAAAGAGTTTTCCTGCTTTGCATTTGAATTTGACAGTGCTTAATATTGCGAATTTCAAACCTGTTACGACTCCCAAAAGCAAGTCATTTATTGTCAATATTCCCATTTGGAAAAACAAATGACTAAACAGAAACACATCAGTGAGAGGTTCAAATAATGCCAATCACCATCCATTTCTTCTATATATGTACTCACTGAGGTTGAAAGAAAAGTGTGACTGACCTTTGAGAGACCCCCTACTTGCTCTAGAACACCAACCTCATAACTGACAGGACATTCTATATAGACTGGGACAAATAGGAAATACTTCTTTAAATCACAGTATAAGCAACAGGGGTCTTAATCTAGCTCTGATTGTTGTTATTTATTATTTTTTTACTCTTATTTTATTTTGTTTGAAGACAGAGTTTCCCTCTTGTTGCCCAGGCTGTAGAGCAATGGCATAACCTTGGCTACTGCAACTTCTGCCTCCTGTGTTCAAGCGATTCTCCTCATTCAGCCTCCTGAGTAGCTGGGATCACAGGCATGTACCACCATGCCCAGCTAATTTTTCTGTACTTTTAGTAGAGACAGGGTTTCACCATGTTGGCCAGGCTGCTCTTGAACTCCTGATCTCAGGTAATCCACCCACCCCAGCCTCCCAAAGTGCTGGTATTACAGGTGTGAGCCAGTGCATCTGGCTTGATTGCTGTTAATTACTTCGTGGTTAGCATAAATTTGTATCACGATATTAATATTTTTATAAGAACTTATTTTTTGCATTTCCAAAATTTGTATTTTCTTTCACAGTTCTGATAGACAAAAATGCCTAGACAGACACTAAAATTGAGAATCCTGCATAAATTAAAATTGAAGACACCCTAATTTTCAAATAATGTCTATATGATTCCCAAGAGAATTGTAGCTTGCAGTCAGCTGTATATGTTTTCCACCAGAAATGTAGCAAAATAGATAGCTGCTGCTTTTATACTTTTCCAGTAATTGTTGTATCTGTTCCATGGACATATGTCAAATTCTTCTGTTATATACATACCTTAGCTCTATTAGTGCATTGTAAGCTCCTAGCAGAGAACATAAGATTCGGCAGTTCAAGCACTTAGCTGGTAGTAAGGTCTTGATAAATGACAACTGACGGAAGGTATGATTGAGTTTAACTGAGGTAAACGAGCCTCCTATTTCTATAAAGCTTTTTGCAAAATAGAACACAAGTGAACAGAATTTAGGTTCAGATCCTTTCTACTAAAGATAGGATGAAATTGAAATGGATTAAACTCAGGCAAAAGTCCTATTTCACTTGTTATTTTGTGGGTATTCTTTATGAATATTTATAAGGTCATTAATTTCATTCTAATTTTTATTAATAAATATAAGGAGGCAGCATTACTCGAGTCAAACCTATCAACTGGCAAGAACTGTAATTGTAGCAGTTGAGAATCAGCACCTACTAGTGTAAGAGTCTAAAAATATTAGTGACCAGTAAAAACAATATTATGTAGGTAATATTTACTTACTTACTGTCATGTATTAGAACTATTTAAAGATATAAAATTATCTCAAATCAAAGGTAAGAATAAAGTACACTGATTTACCTTCAGGAGCAACTTAATGCTCAGTTCATATTTGGGAGAAAGAGATTCCATAATATGCCAAACCAAAAATTAAGTTATTGTTTAAATGTGATCATGTCCATAATTTATCTTCCTATGATTCCCTACTGTTTGTTTCTGTCTGCAACTGAACAAAGTGTTCTATCATAGGAATCAAAGGAATTGTTAAGATATATCCTATGGTTCCAATAAATGAGGAAGACGAATACAAGAAATCAAATTAAATCGCAGTTATTGATACCACTAGAACATGCGGAAGATATCTGACCACTTCACTTTCAAAGAAAATCTTGAAGGAAAAGATGTCTCAGTCACCCACAGGTAACCATAACAGGGCCACATGTGAGGTGGCACAGCTGTAGTTAAAACCCACCACTATAAACCAAGCATACTTTTGGAATGTGTATGCTTTCAGTCCTTGTAATAAAAATATGCCCTACCAAGACTCACTCCAGTTAATGAGTTTTTAATTGATGAAATCATAAGCAATTTCTCAATATGACTACAACATTACTACAATCTAAAGTGACTAATAATCAGTACATTTTTATGTATTCTGAAATATTTTGTGTAATCTAAAATAGCCCATAGAACATTTTTAGGAAAAAAAAAATATAAATATATCTCTATATAGTCTTTAATGGAAATTACTTAGCAGTTAATTAGCACTGATCATTTATTTAAATTTATAAAGCTATCTTGGATACATCCTCTCAGTATTTATGACAGTTTAAAATAGTATAACTTAGAAATCCTTACTTTATCTTTATTTTTATTTTTTTGAGCCTTGCTCTGTCATCCAGGCTAGAGGTATAATGAGCTCCCTCACAGCTCACTGCAAGCTCAAACCCCTAGGCTCAAGCAGTCCTCCTGCCTCAGCCTCCTGAGTAGCTGGGATTAGAGGTGTGCCACCATCCCTGGCTACTTTGTTTTGTTTGTTTGTTTGTTTGTTTGTTTGTTTTGTAGAGTCAGGTTCCCAGGCTGGTCTCGAATTCCTGGACTCAAGCAATCCTCCTGCCTTGCACTTCCAAAAGTATTAAGATTACAGGCTTGAGCCACTGTGCCTGGCTGAAATCTGCTCTTTAATTCAAACATCAATATTTTTTTTCAGATAAGCAGATGAATAGATTTATATTCATCTCAATTTTTCTGTTTTAAACCTATGCGGTTTTTTTTCTGTTAATCATTCTAGACTAATAATCCAAAGTAAAAAAGTACGCCATGTTTCTTTTCTTGAATGATTGTCTTTATAAATAAGTCCTCATCTATAGCCAAATGCATCAGTAATCCTAACATACAGTACAAATGCTACAAATCATAAATAAACACACTATACATTTACAGAAAACATAATAGAAATTTATTAAATGAGGCTTTAGCAACCAACACTGTTACAAGTCATTAACAATCTCGGATTCCTTTTACTCAGTACTAGAGACCTGATGGGGGGCTGGGAGTAAGACGGAGGAAGAAGACCTCAGAAGAGAAAAACTTCACCCTGACTGACACAGCAAGTGATCAGGGAATCAAGGGAACAGACTGAATTAAGGTGAAGTTAGGAGCCTGCTGATTTCTAAGTAGTTAACCACACTATTAGAATCATTCTCTCAAAAAGAATGGATTAATTTAAAAGGAAAGTGGTACAATCTGCAAAATTATCTCATTTACTCTACTAGGTGAAAATGATTACAAAGGAATGGGGATGAACTATAAAAAAAAAAAAAAAAACCACACACACATGAAAACTGAACTGGTAACAGCTAGACTGAGAATGAAAAGAACCTCTGAAGGAAATCAAAAGTAGTAAGAGGAGACACTTTCCTGGAAAATGTGTGCTCACAAACAGATATATTTCCATACCCCCCATTTTCAACTTAAAGCTATATCAAATAATATAATTAAAAATAAATTTTAGGAATATATTTTGCAAACTCAACTAGAAATTAGAGTTTGCTCCAAAGTCATAAAGAACTGACTGCCTAGGGTGTGGCTGCTGCAGCAGTTCTATTAGAGAAGGTGATCAAAGCAAATGAAGTTTAAACATTTTTGGCATGTCAGTACGGCAGTAGAAAGAAGAGTTTTCCTTCTTGGCAGCTAATACCAGAATTCCTTATTGGGGCACCCATGTTCCATCCTAAGAAACCACTTTGCAAAAAATAAAAAAGGTAGGTGTCAGGAAAGCAGGAATTGGAGTAAGCTCTGTTTGGGGAATTGTTCCAGGAACAGAACAACCCCAGGCTGGCTATGCTAAGAGAAAAAACATAGAAGACTTGGGCACTTATTAGTGGAGTGGTATACACTTAAGAAATGACTGGCTGAGCATGGTGGCTCACGCCTGTAATCCCAGCATTTTGAGAGGCAGGTGGATCACAAGGCCAGGATATCGAGACCATCCTGGCTAATATAGTGAAACCCCATCTATTCTAAAAAATTAGCTGAGTGTGGTGGCGTGCGTCTATAGTCCCAGCTACTTAGGAGGCTAAGGCAGGAGAATCACTTGAACCCAGCATAAGGAGGTTGCAGTAAGTCAAGACTGAGCCACTGCCTTCCAGCCTGCGTGACAGAGCGAGACTATGTCCGCAACCCACCCCCTGCCAAAAAAATGACTACAGGAGGTTCTGTGAAACAGAACCTCCTCTACCTTCCTTAGGAATCTAAGCTAAACCCTACTTGGCTTTATGCTTTTCAAGCAAGTGGATTTTTCCTGATAGATATGAAACATCCCCAAATTTATTCCTTTCCTAGTTTCCTGTATTTTCTTCAAAATATGAAAAAGGAGAAAACACTACATCTATCGCATAAAAATCTCACTTCTGAATAATTTTTCTAATACAAAAGTATAATACACACATATTTCTTTCAAGACTTCATCATTTTTTAACAATGTTTCTTAAAAAAAAAAAAGACAAGGA